CAGCAAGATAGAATGTAGACTAGAGGGGCTCACAGCATGGTATACCAAAAGAAAATGCAAAACAAGCCATCCCAAAGGAAAGCAAAACAGAGAAACAAATACATTCGGTAACAATTTCATAAATGATCTTAATAAATGTCATTAAAATGAATGTGACACATAGTACAAACGATCCATGGCACTTTCACTGGAACAGTACAATAGCTTTAATGAACACTGTATTATGAGAAACGAGGCTCAAAATAGGACCAGCAATGCAAAGAATCAGGCATTTGGTTGTTGTTAATGGAAGGTGAGACTACAAGAGAACATGAACTACTGTATTGTAAAATGTGTTTTGAAGGAAGACTCTGGGAAAAGAAGGACATCAATGAAGGTGTGAATATGGAGACAATATGGCAGCACAAGGGCTGGTACAGACGAAGTATACATCGTCACGATACAGCACAAATGAAAAAAGAGGAGGAGAGATGTTAACAATAAAGTCTGCTTTTCAAATGCCACAATCTGATACACCAATGACTCCACAAGGAGGTTTGGGAGGGGGAGGGAAAAAAAAAAGCCTAAAAAACTTAGACTGTTTGTACTTCCTGCAAAGAAGTTAGTGCACGAGTCACATGAACCAATGGAGAGACAAAATGCTATTCTCTCTCCTCTTTGAGTTTGGGGGCTCATATATAAATATACACACGGATATATATATATATAGACAGCTTAATACATATATATGTATATACGTGTGTGTATATACAGAGAAAGATAGACAAAGATGTTATCTTCCTGTGTTCTTGGCAAGGAATTAGTCCTGAAGTTAGAAGGAGTGGAGGTAGGATTGAGGTTGGAAGGAAAGGTAACGAAGAGGGCATACCGCTTTCGGCTTCTGCAAACGACAAGAAAAAAATTGCAAATCAAACACTTTGATAAGAAATCAAGTGACACCAAAGCAAAAGCAAAAAAACCCTTTATTTAAAAGTCTTCAAGGCTCAAAGGTTTTTCTGCCGAGAATGAGAACAAATATATGGATAGACAGAGAGAAAATTTAAGAGGAGTAAACATGGGGTGCAGGAGGGAAGAATCCTGGTTAGGCTTTCCTTCTTGCTTAGTCATGTGGAAAAAAGAAAAATAAGGGGAAAAAGGAAGGAAAAATATCTCTAAAAGGGATTTCAGATGAAGAGTGTGAATGTCTGCATTTTGAACTGGTTTTTTTTGCTATCTATTCAGCAAGCTCTGCTGGGACATTTTCAGGTTGATGTTCTCCATGTTCCTTCAGCATTTTTTCTACAGAAGAAACAAAACCTCTCTACAATGAACTAAGAAAGACCATTTTTTAAGCTGAAGTATTTGGCTTGCATGAGGGACACAAAAACTTATTTGCAAAGTGCTTCCTGCTCTTAATAACTGATCATAATATTCGCAGATATTAGAGATGAAGGAATGACTAACTCATATTGTGACCTGGAACACTAAAGTGCAGACGTTAGTAGCTTGTCAGAAACCTGCTAAATTCAGTTGTTTTGTAAACTCAGATGTTTCTTTGATAACTGAGCAGTAATTTAAGCAATATCAATTATATAAATTTAAAGGTAAAAAAAAAAAAAATCTAATCATGGCTTTTAATTAATCCTCAAGATACCTTGATAAGAAACAGTTGCCTAAAAGATAAACATACTATAGATACTTTACCCATTATCTGAAAATGAGTTTGTAATTATTATATCTATGACTACATTATCTATATTTAGGCTTGAAAACTTTTAAATTCTGCTTTCAAGCAATCTCACAAAAATCATACATTGTTTATAATTAACAATCTAATACTGTTAAAACTTGTTATCAAGGTGTGCTTACTGTTTTGTGCAGCTTTATTAGGAGTCAGGGGAAAAAATAACCAACTGCAAGCAGGAAGCTCATTGTACATTAATATTAGCTTGGATAAAGTTTTGATGATTGTAATTACTATTGATCTCAAATTCCCTATAGTAGAGTTAACAGAACTTGGCTGTAAATCAGAAAGCTTTAGAAAACCAGCATCTAGGAGACTGCCTGGGAATAAAAAAATAAGTGCATTGGTAAGTATTTATGCCATTCTACATGTAATGAAGACATTAAGAAAGTCAATGAAAATTCTGCCATTGACTTAAAATGGTACTAGGATTTATCCTTAACCCTAACGTGAAATTTAGAGAGGGGATTAGGAAATCTGGAATGCCCTCACATTACTTTTAAGAACTGTGCTTTTGAGAGCTGCACACTCTTCTGAATTCACTTTGCCTTCCTTTAGCTCTGAATACAAAGTGATGAAGGCAGGTGAAACTGATCTTAAATAGAAACTCCCTGTGTAATTAAAAAAATCAGATACATAATTTACCTATATAGATGGTCTATTATGACTAGTAACAAAAATTAAACAGGTGGGAGTAAGATCTTCTCATCTCTTAGGCAGAAAATATGCTTTGAAAATACTGGTCCTGCTATGACAGGAAATAATAGCTCTTAATAAAAGGCTGCCACCTAGATAATATTCCACATTTTTATTTATCTTTATCATTGTTGCTCTAAATAGTAAACTATGTAAAATGTCTCAATAGTTTTACAAAATATGAAAACTAAACTATAATCATAAAATAAATCAGTACATATCTATTGTTGGTCACTCATAAAGAGTGACAGCTAAAAGCGTACCATAATCAGTTCTCCCTTCACCTTTATGAAGAATTACCAATGAAGAACTTAAGATATGAAGTAGAATAAAATATTTCCAAAAGTCATCATCAACAAACATCATTGGTAAATGACAAATTTTTTCTTGTTCAAAGACAGCTTGCACTTGTAAACCAAGTTATTCTAATTTTTATCTGAATTCCCCATCTTTTCATTTAATGAGATGCAAGGAAACATAAGTATACCTAAGAAGTGAGAAAGTGAAGTTTTGTTCCACTACCTTTCTGATTAGACTAAAAGGCTCCAGCTCAGAAAACCACAAGTGTGTATTTAAGTTGAAGAGCACAGGAACAGGAACAAGTAGAACAGTAAAGATATGCTGCAGGTAGCACTGTTCACTGAACAGTGACTATAAAATTATCACTGGTTGATAAAGTCAATAGATATTGCTGTGGATCAGGGTTATAAAAAAAATGTGAATAGCTTATGTGCTTTCCTCTTGTTACATATGTATTCACAAAATCCAGCTGTTAACATCCCTTTCTTAGTATTGTTTCCTGCAATTTTTAGGCTCTTTTTTTTAATACCAAATCAATTAATTGTGAGCTGTTACCTGCGTGGCTTTAAGTAAGAAGGAATATATGATTGTATCACATTGTGTTACTTTTTGTGGGATCCTCTGCATCACCTTGTGATTAACAACTCAATCCAACTCCCACTGAAGTTAGTGGAAAGAATGATATGAAAGCCATGAATTATCTGTTATTACTGAAAAAGACTGTAATATTAGCACTTACATCAGTAAATGACAACTGAAATAATGACAACCTAAAGTTGGGCAATAATTCTTAGGAGAACCAACAGAAATCAAAAAATTTCTAATATTGGAAATACAAAATCTGGTAAAGAGTTCCACTGCTGTTACTATCGTATTTTTCTTTTTTCTAGGAAGAGATTACTATTCAGAGATAAAAGAATAATAAATCATTTGCTTTACATAAGATAATACAGAATGAGATCATTCAATGGAAAAGTATTTTAAGAGCCCATGGGAGCTGGAAACATTAAAAAAATCAGATATTTAAAAAAACTCAAACATCCAATAGCACATACACCACTTCACATATTACTTTATAACAGTGGAAAGAATCAAGCAAAACCAAACACAGGGGATAGAAATACTCTTATAAACAGTGGAACACTGCATTTTCCATGTCAAATGCCCAACATAGATTTTATAGATTTTTTTTAATAAAGAAAAATGACAACATATAATAATAAATATTAAAATAAATTTTCAAAACGTCAGAAATTGTGGCATGAGCTCAAATGGCAGAATTGGTTCTCCTGTGAGGAGAAACAATTGCCCTCAAAAGTTTTAGAGAATTTGTGGCCAAAATAAGATGAACTAATATGTCATATATCATTCAAAATTTACGACAGTAGTACAGAATATAATTTTTGATCAAAGAAAATAAAATTCAGCTCAGAGTCAGTATTGTCATAAGTTTATTATATGTCCCTCCACATGTTGCAGAGCACATTTATAACATTTTTGTTTTACAAAAATGAATGTTGTGCAAAGCACTGATGGGCAAGTTGATAGAAGACTGACTCCAATGTTTGCTTGGAATTTTATGAATTTTTGTACAAAAACCCCACAAGAAACACTTGTTTTCCCACCTGTGAATCTGTACTAATAATAATGAATGTTTTTCTTTTTGTTGAAGAAAGGAGTCAGCCAGTTGGCCACTTGAAGACTAAATTAATCTTTTCCAGTTTCATGATGTTATTCATATATGAAAGTTTTGTCAGAACAGACACCATATAAATACTAAGTTTCTACTGTATTTCTGTTTATCCTGTATCCTATCTAAATGGGTTCTTCCAAATTAATTTAAATGAAATTATTATTTTGAGAATACACATAGCCATAATGGGTTTTGATATCACATCTGTTTTCCATTTTTCCATTTTCAGTAAAATAAGTTGGACCTCCAATCAAAACTGGTGGACTATGAACAAAATTATTGCAAGTTTTTAAGTTAAAAATGAATTGCAGTTCTGGAGACAGGACATATATATCACTGTCCCCCCACCTTCTACTTAATGTTCTGACTTAAATTAATTTTAGGGAAGAAGAAAAGGCGAGAAAAAAGCCTTTCAGCACTATGTGAAATGGTGTAATCTGATGGCATGCTAATTATACTCTGAAATGTTTAAAAAATGTAAGAATAGCTATGTTCATTCTGGAAAAAAAAAAAAGAAAAGAAAAAAAAAAAGGCAAAATTCTCAACAGTACATTCCAGAACTTCAAAATTTGTAGGCAGTGGACATACCTGCTTTCTCGTTTTTCCGACTTGTATTCTATGGCTATCATTAAGAGCTTTAGTTTCGCAAACACCAGTCTGCAGGAAGAGAAGAGGCCAACAGTCAGTCCTTTTTCACAACCAACACCACATTTGTAGAGATGGCTGTGGGGTATTATTTTCTTTGAGAACTCACACTAAGATCTTCTCCCATTTTTTTGAATTAGGTATACAAAGAACATATAATAAGGTCTTTCTATTTTGAAGATAATGAACACATATTTTTCTAAAAATATAAACTGACAAGTTGAGAACAGCAGCATAAGCACCAACACTATGTTACTAAGTCTACTTAAGCATTAGTAACAAAGTTATGATATACAACATGAAATTGCATTTGACTATCGCTGTGGATGTCTTGAGGAAATTTTTCAAATCTTTGCTGGAATTCAGCCATATGTTGATTGTAGTATGCATTCCTTAGAAAATATGTATGTACTGAACTAAAATGAGAGTACACTATTAATAAGTCAATATTTGCCAACCACTGTCACAGAGGAACAGCATGAATGGAAGCAATTTCTGACCAATATATGGGAAGTACATTCTGATAATGTAATACACATTTTTTCAGTTGTAAAAGTTTGTACAGGTGGCTATTTATTGAAACCATTCAAGGGCAGGGCGATATTAATAGACTTGCAGAACTGAGTTTGCACAATGCCATTTGCTTCAAACTAATAGGCTCTCTGAGAATAAACAAACAAACCATTTTTTAAAAAATAACTAGAAATCATTTTCCAATTTTGTCATTGAAGTGTATACAAATTCAATGCTACTTGCTTCCTGTTCTATGAATTTGTCACAAATTATTCTAGAGGTCATCTTTCAATTAGATGGCTGCCATCTTCTGTATCATACACTAACTTTTCCAGAGCTCACTTCAGTGTTATTAATAATTTTGTATATATTTTGAGAATATTTATTTAAGCAAATCTAAGCAATATTCTGCATAATTTCCATCAGTCACATACTTAGCAGAAAACAAGGAATTGGCTGCTGAACTGGTAATATTCCATTTCTATATTAAGTTTCAGAAATCACTGTGAACAGTTTCTGCTATTTCTTCAGGATAAGAGACTAATTACAGATAAGCATGGATGTAGGGGCAATGCTGAGGCAATGTGCTGCATATCACATAAGGATATATTTAATAGAATTTATTTTGCATTATGTCAGTTTTGCAATGTAATATTGAGCGTATTTTTTCTTCAAAAATTTTCCTTTTAAAGGATTGTAAAAGTAGCTCTGTAGTCTCCTTGTCTGGGGAGGCAAGTGATATATCAGTATTTGGGAAGTAACACAGAAAGACAGATGGGGCAAACAAGTTATGTAGCTGATTTTTTTTAAATTGTTTTTTTTTTTTTTTTTAAATCAATTAAAACTCTTACTCTACCCCTAGAACTCCAGCCAATGTCAGAAATGGGCAGACAAAATCCTGACAGCTACTGAATTCTTGATTAGTCCATCATTTCTCTCAATATTAACAGGTTAATGAAGCCTGACTATCAGCTTCAAAAAAAGAAAAATAAAAAATCAATTTTCCAACATATTAACAGTAGAGTACCTTATATGTTGTATTAAGACTATTATGTATCTGTTTTAAAAAAGATGATATAATAAAATACAATTTCATGAGGTGTGAATATCAAGAGTTCTAAATCTATTTTTTAATTTTGGCTACCTACATTCCTTTAGAAAACACACTTAAGTTCCCTTCCCTGGTTTTCTAGTATTTTATAATCTATCTATCTATATCTTCCTAAAAACCAAACCAAACCAAAAATAAACAAAAAAACCCCAACAGCAAACCCAACATAAAGAGATAAGCATAATGCTACCCCAGTATTTGGCATAAGTATCTCATTCTTATCTAGAGATTTACTAAAAATATTTAAGTGGTAAACTAAATAGGTTTACGTGCACTAGGCCATGCAATTAAACACTAGGACGAAGAAGTCTCACCATTTAACTGTATTGTGCAAATGTAGTTTGATATGATTAAAATGAGAAACAGAAAGATCTTATACCTGCTTTTGTTCCCCAGATACATAAAGAACCTTGTAATAAGGAGTTAGAACAATTTTTAATCTCAAATTATTATGTAGAAGTCCACAAAAATTGTGAATGACAGTACATAAGGCATTAATTTCTATTTTATTTTCAACTGTCAGCATCATCTGCTAACTACTGCTGAACACACGGTCAAGAACAAAGGCTCTTAAGAATTGGAATCTGACTGTTTCTATCTACCCAGAGAGAAATAAACTGTTTTTGACATTAAATCTTCCTTATTTACTAGTAAGACTATCATCGACATAAATTAACCATAGATACCTGCTGTATTATTTGCATGTGGAAGTACTGGGATATTTAGAATTTTAAAAAAATTGTCATTCTTCTTTCTGAGCAGAAAAAACCCATGAAGATAGAACCTTGATTAGTTCTTAATTATTTAATTTTGTACAAAACATTTTTTTAAAAGGATTTTAATTGGAAAATCTACCAGAGGGAAGTTTTTTCTTTTCAAACAAAATTTTTATTAAAATCTCATACACCATAAATAATTTGGGTTTTTTCCTTAGGGTCAGTTATAACATTTTTTGCTGAACTAATTTTGACAAAGGAATAGGTACTTTCTTCAAGAGAGAAAAAGTATTTTCAATCTACTTTCCTATGTTGGTTCAGCTGCAGTTAGCAAAAGTATTTTGATAGAGGAGAAATCACATTGCTATTCACCTAATGAAAAATATATGGAAAAATATTCCTGATAAAAAGTAGTATCTTACAGTAACATCTTAAGCTGAGCAAATTATTTGCAATATCAGAATTCTTTCATAAATATATTATTTTTGTCATCTTTTCAAACTATTTTTTATGCATATTCTCAATTGGTGCTTTCTTTGGTATTTGTGTTCCTGAGGAGTTGGAAGTATGAAAGTATCGGGTACTTTACTTTTCTGGAGCAGCAGTGTCTAAAATGAGTGCAGTCAACGAGGTTCATACACTGGAGTAGAAATTATCATAATATATATTTAATAATCTAAATATCCCTTTTAAAGGTTTGTTAATGTCAGGTTCAACTAATTTCCAGTCACATGAAACTGGCAAAAGCATGGGCACCTTCTGCTTTCAACCTACAGGTAGGTTCATCCAGATGCATGTATTGCTCAGGCAAGAAAAAAAAATTAAGCAAATATTCCAATAGCAGATTTTCACAGAACTATTAAAAATTTAAAAGTAAGCACTGATGTAAGTGGTTATCTGATCAAGTGTAAAATGATATGTTTGTTAGCAAGATTTTTGGGATCTTGTTAAAATATTTGAGATGTATTTTACAGGTATATTTACAGCAAACGGGCCCAATTTAACATATATTAAGAGAAGCAGACACCTTTCATATGCTGTTTCCACTGCTAGGTCAAGTGTGAATCCATAGATGTGCTAGCCTACTAGGAAAATTTTGGGGTGGAGAATGGTGGGCCTAGCAACTCATTGAAGGTTAGCCTTGCAGTAGTAAATATTAGAAGGCTCACTAGAAGACTCTGTGCTGGTGGGGAACAGTGTGGTTAATTTACTCTACAGTCATCATCACACAAACCTGATCCAACAATATCCAAGGGCGCAGAATGATAGGAATTACTTTAATGAATTAAAAATGTATTGGTGAGAATATGTTCACACAGTACACACACATACTCAGAGTTATAAATAAAACTTGCAGACTGATACTAACTTCTGTTTCTATCTAATTCTTCTTCCTGGTGTTGATATCAAAAGCTTGAAATTCTTCAAAAATAGAGCGTCCCATCCCCACTGAAAGAGGAGATGTTTCTGCACTCTCTTTAAGTTTGTTACCCAAACTGTATGGCAACCTATTTACCAGAGAATCACATTCCAAGATTGGCAATGAGGACCAATAACCTGAGGAAGCAGCATATCTCACTTAGTTTCAGAGTTTTAAAATGTCACTGACTGCATGAATTTTAAAAGCTAAATTACAAAAAATGATCTCAAAGTCTATGTATTTTGTGGGTAAAAGCCTGTCCATTGATTTTATTTCCCCTTCACAAATCATTGCAACTGATTTTTTGCTGTCCTTTGGTTCTTCTGGAAATTGAATAGCCAGTTCTTACAGTAATGAAAATACCTATGCATTACACTCATTAATACGTAACACTACATTTTAATTTTCAATATGCTTTAATTAACCTGAATTTAATAGAGTTATTAAACTCTTGGAAAATTTGAGATAAATCTTTTTCTTTAATGTAAACCAGGAAACACAGTTAATTAAGCCTCCAGATAATCAAATGCTTGAGGAGAGCTCCAAAGTTTAGATATGTTTCTAAATGTCAATAAATGCCCTTTATTTATTGATTATTTTATCTCAGCTCTACCAGCACAGTTAAATGACCGTCAGCTTTATGTCAAATACAGTCTGTCACATGTTTCTAAGAACTTGTTTAGAAACTCAACTATGTTTGACAATGGTTTGGTGTGGAGATTTAGTATTCATGATTGTAGTTAGTGTAAACAGCACAAATTACCATTCATTCTGAATATAACACAAATTTCTAGAGTATATTATGAGATTTTCTATTTCAAGATATTCAGGCAAATTTTTGTGCTTACAGTAATAAACATTTTCCCTCCATAACCTAGTCACAGTCTGGTTAACACAGCGAAGAGATGGATTGCGAGCCCCTTCATTTTACTAGCAAATTGAAGACTGGGCTCTGTCATAGCCATATCCCAGGGAAAGACAGATTTTTAAATTGATAACATTAATCTAAAACTTGTTTCTCCCTCATTCTTATGCCATAACCTATGTTTATGCCACTGTAAAAATCAGAAAAGGTGGAAGAAGTGAGAGGAGTTAAATCAAAATCATTCTCCTTTACATAAGCGATGATATCTTACTTCCTCTATTTCCTCCTCTAAGAGTGGAGTCTGCAAAAGTTCTATGTTATCTAGTTAGACATCAAGCTCCTCAGAATAGGGTCTGTTTCTTTTTAAGCATTTGAACAGTGCCTAGCAAAAGCTGTCCAGACTCTTTGTTGTGACCTTTTGGTACAGCTGTAATGAAGAAAAATGCCAACAGAAGAGGAAATATGATTGTGCTAAGCTATCCTGACTATGTTTGTGGCCACAGTATTTATCATAGAAACCTTATGCATAGAAATCTTTCATTCATGGAATCATTCCAGGACAAATATAAGGATTTTCAGTCTCTAGAAATAGAGTTGTAGCATAGCTTATGCTACGGTTATATAGTATGCTTCAAATACTCGTTTCTCATTACAGAACAGGCATATTTTTTCTTACATATTTCACTTGTTTAAAAGTGGTTTGCAACCAGTTCTACAGAGCTCTGGATACCACACTGCTTATATGATTCCATTACATCTGCTTCAATTAAAGAATAGTTTCCTTGGAATGGGACATAAGCCAAGATGGTGACGCTGACAACCACTGTTCAAAGAATGGGAATCATTAGAAGAAACAATAGGACAGCACTTACGAGTAAATAACTCAATTTAAATGGATTGCTAATGAATTTGTTCAACACTGTAAATATTTACGTTTTCACTTACAATCACTTAATTCCAAATCTCTTCTGAAAACTGGCATTACAATGGTTGGAATACTTCCATGCAGTGATTACTTTAATGTTTATTTTCTTGGATCCTATCTGATGCAGCAACATTAGGAGTGTAGCAGACTGAAAAGGTCTCCTGCAGAAACCTTAGATTTCACTCGAGAGAAGGCAAATACTTATGTAACCTTAATATGTATTTCTACTTACTCACAAACTGCAGGGAAGGACAAACCCACAAAGGCACTAGACAGATATTCTGTATACATTTCATTTGCAACTCCTTCCAGGTAGTATTTCTGCCACGTATCCTCCTCAATCTAAAACAAAGAAACACAGATGCAGAGTTTCTGAGTAAAACCAAAAGCTTTCTTTAAAATTTCCAAACAACTGCTTAAACTTGAATCAGATTTTAACAAATAAGTCAGTAGATTGTTTTGGCAATTAATATTGCTTATTTTTACAGGATTTTCCGGAATGCTCAAAAAAAACCCCAAACCACAAACCCCTCAAAAACAAACAAACAAACAAACAAACAAAACACTCCAGTCCATGTAGTCAGTAAATCAAGTATCCTATGTAAAAATAATACGCTGCATTCTTGGCAAGCACATTCGGCATGAGGTGAAATCAGGTTGTAGAAAGCTTGTTGAAAAAAGTTTCCCAATTTTATCATTCTGAAAATTGTCTAGTGAAATGGTTGCATTATATTGTTATTTGAGTCTCTCTAACAATGTTTCAATTATTTTCACCTTGTTTAGAAGTTGATTAGCAATCAAAACTCTTTTTTTTTTCTTCTCTGCATCTATAACTAACATAAGAATGAGAAACATATAGAAACAATTTCTTCAATGGTCATCAGTGCTTTAGGACAACAACTGAAGAAAACTTTTACTGCTAAATTTTTACTGTTACTGTTGAAGGTATGAAGGAAAACAAGTCAGAGGTGGTACCATCAAAAGATCAATATATTTGCCTAAGCAGAAGTTTCTAGTGATACTGGAAATGCGCATGCAATCACACCTAGCTTCCAGCTGCTGCCCTGGAGTCCGTGGATGCCTTGTCATATCTATAAAGCTTACGTCTCAGACACTGTATATGGTCTTTTAATTAGCATCAAACACCTATATTAAGGTAACTGGATCAAGCTGCTTAGTATCCATCAGCAGAAACAGCACTATATATTCAGCAGAGCAAATACAAAGCTAATCGATATGACAGGAAACATGGCATATGTTGAAGCTCTTCATTGTTGAAATCCCAGTCCTCTATACCATCATTTGTGCCCTCATCCAAAGTTTTTTTGAGATTTGACTGTCACTCCCAATGAAATCGTCCTAGGCAAACTAGGGAAACCACCACAAATATGCAGCCTAAAATACCTAAGGCTTCACATGAAACAGTTGCTTCCCTATGTATTAATTCACATTAAAATAGAGCAAAAATTTCAACCACGACAGGACATTCCTGTGTGTAATAATCTTTCATATAATTCATATTTGCAAGAATTACACACAGCACCAAAAACATATGTATGATAATACAGTATAGATATAATTATTGAGAAACATCAATTACTAGCAAAAATATTGCGATATATTTCTTTTTTTTTTACATTTTACATTAACCAGAGTCTATTTCACTACATAGTAAATAGGAAACATGTAAAAAGAGAGATTGAGAAATTAAAGATTTTAATTTTCTTAAACAAGGCACATGATTTTACAGATCATCAAAATATTTATCTTGCAATTTAGCTCATGTCTAAAAGCTATATTTTATTTTTTACAAAAAAATAAAGAAGCTCTTAGGTCCACTGTTTAGGTAGCCCCATTATGGTCCTCATCTTACAGAGCAGAAAGCGAGACAGCGTTGAGTTTAGATGCGAAGGACATAATGAGAAGGCATTTTTCTTAAAACTATTGGTGGAGATTTGCAAAGCTACCTGAAAGGTTGAAATACCAAATATCAACTGATTTGAGAAGGATTTGGATAACTATACATCTCTTAAACATTTCACAGTTTGTCTTCTGACATCCCCAGCTTTTCCCAAAGCTCAGTAAAGAGATGATGATACTAATCCTGCAGGAAACAGAGCTGTACCCAGGCCCAGTGAAGAATGAATCCTGCAAAAAGGATGCTTCAGGAACAGCCATCCTCATAAATTACTGCAGGTAAGGCTCAAGTGCTTTAATCTACACTGCTGATCGTCCTTGTCTAAAGTCCCAGAGCCAGCGTAATGGCAGCTAAGTATGAGACAGTTTTGGGTTTGGGGTTTTTTTTCCCCGTTAGAGAGAACTCTCAGCATTTCAGAAATTCTCATCAAAGAATTCAGTCCAATAAGATAAACAGCTTATTATTGTTTTAAAATTTTGTGCAGCTACACTACTGCCCACTATGTCAAATGACAGTCAATGATTTTAATGGCATGAAATGCCTTATGACAGCAAAACACAGGCCTTTATATTCTGTATGGTAAAGGCATTATGGTATGTTAGGAGTGTGGAATATATGTTCTTATGAATGTATATTCCAAATAGCAATATAAATGTACATCTCTGTCAGTATTCAAGAAAATAAATTAATACGTGGAATGTGACTTGAGTAAAAATGGCCAAATTATTTTTTCAGCTATTCATCAATAAATTAAATTGAGAAAATCATCTTTAAGCAACAATTTATCTTTGTCTGTAGTGTCAAACTACAGCTGTTTTAAAACAGCACTAAAGCAAGAGGTTCTTGTACAACATACAGAGCTTAAAGGAAATCTCACCATGTAAATTCAAAAAAGAATAAAAATTTAAGATGGGAAAAATTACATACTCTAATTACCAGTCAGTTCAGGTCTGTGACCAACAACATGCTCTGTGCATTTATACTGTATCCAGCAACTGACTTTCTGCCTCTTAAATTTAAAAATGAACACATGCCTACACAGATATCATTAAGACTTTTTTTCTAAATAATAATTCTATTTTTGCTTTAACGGGTTTGTTTATATTGTTTCCTTAGTTGTACTTATCATTATTCTACTCTATGCTTCTAAACAAGGTATAATCAGATGAAAATGTTAAGTGTTTAACAAAACTTTTAAGTTAAGTAATTGATATTTTCTAATTTCCAATTAAATCTTTAGGAACTTTTAAAATCTTACTTGTTTTAGGAAATAAAATTATGAGAGCACAAGCTGTAAAAGTAAACTCCATTTTAAACACAAAAGCTATAATGGTTACGGAATCCTATCATTCCCCAAGAGTCTAGAACAGATTTTTCTTGTTTCTTCTTATACATTTTTATTAAACACTTACTATTTTCTAAAAGTTTTAAGTTATAATTCTGTATTCCATACTCTTACTCCAGTTCCAAATCATGAAGCTCACAAAACCTGATAAAATAAGTATTCTATAGAAATGCAGTGATGTTCCTCTTCCCACTCCTTTTTTTTTTTTTTTTTCTCTTCTGGAGAGCTGTCCTCATTCCCTCTTCCCCTGCCTGCAGGTCTCTGCCCTTGACTCTGCCTCCTTCTCTTTTCTACCATATCATTACCTAACATCACCCACAATACCAACAGAACTGTTTCTCTAGGCTAATGTCCTGTATACGTTGCTTTCTACTTCCCTCTTAACTCCTTTATCCAAATGGAAATGTCAGCCTGCCCAGCTGGCATGTACTAGAGGATGTACAGCCACCAACTGGCAGTGCTTTCACTCATAGAGTTCTTTATCTTACTTTCCCATCAGCTGTGTTACCACCTCCTCTTTCAGGCTCATAATATGGTTATATATTCTTTGCCTGCTTCAACCCAGTGACTTATTCTATGCTTAAATCATACAGATGTCTTGTCTTCCTACTAATCAGGATAATCTGTGAAAAAATGTCTAGCTCACGTTTGAAAAAAATTCACCTTTAAAAGCTTAAAGAGACAGCAAGACCAATTCCATGTCAAACTAGCATTTTATGGATAGCCAATACCAAAAAAGTGAGAGATACTAAGCTCAGTGAGCAAAACCAGGATTATATTATTAATTACCAGCAAATAAAGCAACAGCCATATTAAAAGGCTTCAAAAAGGGAATTACAGCTGAGCCTCTACCATTGCAGAAGCAAATGTCAGGAGTGCAGTGTCCTAACAGCATAAATAAGAGCTACAGCTCTGCTAATTGTCTAACTTAAAGACGCATTTTCACACCATGTCCACACATGGCTTGTATTGAAATGCTATAATCATCATAATGCTGAGCTTTTCAAATTCTTTTACAATTTAAAAGCACCTCTTCCCTGTAGTAGCCTGATCTACCACTCGAACCTTCTCTATCGATTCTGAGATGCTTGGGATCATTGTCTGAGCAGCACAAAGCAGAAAGAAACAACAGTATGTTTTAACATAATGATTTAAGCTAGAAAATATAAATAAAAATAAATTTCAGATTATAGAATTATGTTACATTATATTATTACACTTATATTGTTATATTATTAAATGTT